GAAAATTAATGTTTATGTCTAATTTGGTTTCCATTTCCAGAAAAGAAAACTAGACCAGGGAAACATTTTCATGTTTTTATTTGGCTCAAATGGTATGAAGGCTCCCCAACAGATCTGACCAAGGAGGGGCTCATAAAGATGTCTTACATTATCCAGGCCTGAATCACGGAGCCAGGCCCATGGCACATAACATTTAAACACAAGGGCAAAAACCCTTAAGGATTTGGACCTCAAACATCATGGAAATGTTGGGGAGGGTTTGCCTAAGACAATTTCTCCCAGGCACACAGGGAGGACTTTGAGACCCTATTATCTAGCTTTTGCCCCAATTTACATGAATTTATCAAGATGGGTGGTCAAGGATTAACACAACCTGGCTGTCACTCCTTTGGAACGAAGGAGGTGAGGCAAGGGCTGGATACAGGACAGTCAATCATTGATCTGTTACTCAGGCTCCCCCATGCCTGTGAGCTCCTGAGATAGAGATCAGGCCTGTATCTTGATTTAATAAAGTTTTTTTTAATCTTTCTTTGCAACAAAGCTTTCCAGTAGCAAGGATAATGTGGTCTTAAAATTCAGTAATGTGGTTGCTTGTGTAATAAACATTTTTAATTTCATGCTTCCTAGGCTGAGCGTTTTCTGTATTTATTTATAATGTTGTTAAAAGCTAGTTACTATTCTCTTTGACTGCATTAAAGAATCACCCTCTCTGAAGTTCTCCTTCAGACATATTACCCAAGGGAGAACCCACATATAATGGATGGCTCTAACTTCACAAGAGAGAGACAAATAGAGGGTTTGAAGCAGAATATAGCAAAACATCTCTCGTTAAAAAAGAAGCTTCTATCACACATGGTGTCCTGTAGAGCTTCAGGTTGTGCCATATGGGTCTGATCACTAAGACACTGTAATGAGGTGTTTACGATACTAAAATAAATGATGGAACCAATGCAAATTCTTTCAGCTCTAGGGAGAAAAAAGAAACTGGATCATACTTACTGGACATTTGCTTTCTGCAATATATTTCTCAGCTTGTGGGTCACCAGAGCTGTCAAAACAAATTAAGAGTGATAGTTTTGCAGGTGGCATTGGATGTGTGGTTCCGCCTATCTAGTTGTTTATTTTTTCAACTTATGACACTCAGTCTATGTGATCCACTTGTATTTTATTTATTTTAGTCAAAACTCCTGTGGCAATTACTATTAAATAAACAGCAGGTCTGGGGCTCCACCCTTGTCATGGAAAAACCCAAGGGAAAGGGACAACTTTTCTAAAGCTTTATCTACACTGGAACTTTGTGGGCAAAACTTTGTCGTTCAGGGATGTTTAAAAAAATAAATAAACCAACACACAACACCCCCAAACGACAAAAGTTTTATCGACGAAAAGCGTCGGTGTGAACATTGCTTTGTCGTCAGGAGCGCTTTGCTCAGCTACATTGCGCACCTTTTAGCGGCACGGCTATAGTGGCACAGCTGTGTCGCTAAAAAGTGCGGAGCGCAGACAAAGCCTAAATTACATTTTAAAAAAAGAAAAGAAAGTGCACCCTGGAAAAATATCTGTCACTTCTTATTTACTTAATGCTACCCTCATGGATAAAAAATACAATCTGAACAATTAACAATATCTTCTGCATTCAATGTGATTTTTATTTCAGGACCATATTTCAATATCATTTTTGTTATATCAATTGTAAATAATCATAGCAGTTACAAGCTGATTAACTTATTCTAAACGATGAGTGAAAGTTTAACTGTTAAAATTCTACACCAGAAGGAAACTAAAATAAAAATCAGACTATAGACAGGTATATTCTCTCATTCAACCTGCCATAAAGAATTTTAATTTGTTTTTAATCTGTTACAAATCTTTCTTGTTGACTTATTTGTCACCTCTCTGATTACAAGGTTGAGTATTTTATTAGGCAGGACTAAAACCAAATAAAGTAGAACCTTGATAATTTGCAGTGATGAATGATTCTTGTGTTCACTGTAGTTCACAAGATGTTCTTTGTTAATTTGTTGATTTACTTGTAGTTTACTTTAAATTCAAGGTAATAATTCAGTAAATGCACTGCAGCATATTTTAACCTTTGTAACGTTTTCTGCATACAAATAAAGAAGTCTTGGTAATAAGAGCCCTCACTACAGTTGACAAGTAGGCCAAACACACCATTATTTTGGGCAAGTTATGAAGTGTGAGGATTACCTATGGGCAAAGTCTTATTCCAGTTTGATTCTGCAAACAAATGCAGGCAAAGAATATTCAAAGTCTCTAACTTCTTATTCCACAGTTCATTAAAGAAAGGAAACTACCAGAGACAACTTTGGGGATCTAGTGACCTCTCTTATCAAAGCCAGATTATTAAATTGATTAACCTTTAGATCTTAAATTATATGTATATCATTAGCAGACCAGCTTTAGTGAGAAGACTGGTGTACAGATATGAGTTAAATAAGCATTTGCTATTTACATCCCCAATTTATAATATACACACACACACTCCTCAAATGAAATATTTTCTTTCCTATCTATTCACTTACCTTCTCCCAAGAATCTGCTTTACTTTCACTACTGTATTTGCAATATTTCTTACTCTACTTTGTTTTGCTGCCAAACCAACAACCTGCAAAATGGAAAAAAAATTATGAAATAAAAAATGGACATTCCTCTCTGCCGAAAACTGCTACAGCGAAAAGAAAAATTACCTCTTCGTTTTTTGAGTAAGCAACAACAGCTGGCGTGACTCTATCACCTGCATCATTGGCAACCACATCTGCACGGCCATCCTAAAAACAAAATATACCATCCAAAGGTAGAGAGAAGTCATTCAGTGAAATATTAACATACCTTCCTACCTTAGCAATGAAATATGTAGCATCAACATTTATTACCAAACACAGCCAATAATGCCAATTAAAAACCTGTGCTCTATGAGTGAGTTTAGTATTTCATCATTCCATCCTGCAGAGCGAGATCCTCTATTGGGAACATAAGAACGGCCACAGTGGGTCAGACCAAAGGTCCATCTAGCCCAGTATCCTGTCTTCCGACAGTGGCCAATGCCAGGTGCCCCAGAGGGAATGAACAGAACAGGTAATCATCAAGTGATCCATCCCCTGTCGCCCATTCCCAGCTTCTGGCAAACAGAGGCTAAGGGACACTATCCCTGCCCATCCTGGCTAATAGCCATTGATGGACCTATCCTCCATGAACTTATCAAGTTCTTTTTTGAACCCTGTTATAGTCTTGGCCTTCACAACATCCTCTGGCAAAGAGTTCCACAGACTGACTGTACGTTGTGTGAAAAAAATACTTCCTTTTGTTTGTTTTAAACCTGCTGCCTATTAATTTCATTTGGTGACCTCTAGTTCTTGTGTTATGAGGAGTAAATAACACTTGCTTATTTATTTTCTCCACACCAGTCATGATTATATAGACCTCAATCATATAACCCCTCCCCCCGAGTCATCTGTCCTAAGCTGAAAAGTTCCAGTCTTATTAATCTCTCCTCATATGGCAGCCATTCCACAGGCCTAATCATTTTTGTTACCCCTTTCTGAACCTTTTCTAATTCCAATATATCAGGGATCGGCAACCTTTAGCACGCGGCCGGCCAGGGTAAGCACCCTGGCAGGCCGGGCCGGTTTGTTTACCTGCCGCGTCCACAGGTTCGGCTGAGTGCCGTTCACCACTCCAGGCCAATGGGGGCGGCAGGAAGCGGTGGCCAACACAACCCTCGGCCCGCGCCGCTTCCCAGAGCCCCCACTGGCCTGGAACGGCAAACTGCGGCCAGTGGGAACCTCAATCAGCCGAACCCGTGGACGCGGCAGGTAAACAAACCGGCTCGGCCCGCCAAGGTGCTTACCCTGGCGGGCCCTGGGCCCAAGGTTGCCAATCCCTGCAACATATCATTTTGCAGATGGGGCAACCACCTCTGCCCGCAGTATTCAAGATGTGGGTGTACCATGGATTTATATAGAGGCAATATGATATTTTTTGTCTTATTATCTCTCTCTCTCTCTCTCTCTCTCTCAATGATTCCCAACATTCTGTTCGCATTTTTTGGGGGGGGACGGGGGACGTGCTGCTGCACATTGAGTGGATATTTTCAGAGACCTATCCACAATGACTCCAAGATCTCTCCCTTGAGCATTAACAGTTAAATGCCCCCACTGAACAGCTCTGCTGCTAAGAGCAACTGGCTGACACCAGAACGACTTTTTCGCACATTGTGAGGCCCGCGTGACGTGCCCCATGCGGCCCCGCCCAGAGACCTGCACCCAGGTACCCGTGTCACTTGTGTGACGCAAAGAAAAGCATCGTCTTGAGGACACCAAGGGAGGGAGGGAGACTCCGTCACGTCCAGGGGTTAGTCATCCCGGCCCGTAACAGCCCGGGGCCCTGACTGTGCCACACACGCACCGCGGCCACAGGGGTCCTGTCAACGGTGGCCCTGGCGCCCCGCCCCGAGCCGCCCCCCACAGCAGCACCAGAGATGGCCCCGCCACCCGGCCCCACCCCCCAAGCGGCTGGCCCGGGAGAGGGCCCCCAACCCCCGCTGGCCCCTCGCCGCACCCCCAGCGCGGCCCACCTTATAGACGGCCACGCAGGCGCAGGTGCAACCCAAATGGACCCCTATGGCCGCCATGAGCCCCTCACTCCACGCCGCCGCAGCGTTCCCCTCCCACAATGCACCGCGACGCCGCCCGCGCCAATCCTGCAGGGCCGCTCGCCCGCCCGGCCAATCACATTCCGCATCTGCTCCCCGGCGAAGCTACCGTTAGGACCAATCCCAGAGACAGGGTCAGATTTCTCCCTCGTGCTTCCGGGGCCAGACCAGGCGGCTGACCGCCAATGAAAAAGCGAGCGGTGTTCGTCGTCACCGAGCATAGCAACCCAGGCACTTTTTTCCTCCTGGCAGCCCCGCCCGGGAGGAGGGAAGGGGGCGGGGTCATTCGGCCGGGTCTCGTCTCGTGCCAGGCGGCGCTGCCAGCACCATGCAGCGGCAGCCCGCACGCGCTGTGCGCAGCCCCTGTGCAGGTCTGGCCCTAGCCCTCCTGTGCACGGGCTCCTGGCTCGCTGCCGCCCTTGCCCCGGGGGGACGTGAAGCTCAGTGCGAAGGTGAGCGGGGCAGGGGGACTGGGGGCCGCTTGCCTTGCTGCACCGTGTGCTGCTGCCCCCCCTGTGCCTCGCCCCCGTGCTATAAATAGCTGCATCCCCATGGCTGCTCTCCTCTGCGTGGCTGCGCAGTGTGCGCCTTGTTCCTACTGGCGTTTCATTAACAATATAACAATCATTATCCGTGTGTGAGCGGGAGGGAAGTGAGAGCCCCCCCCCAGGGTGACCAGATGTCCCGATTTTATAAGGACAGTCCCGATTTTTGGGTCTTTTTCTTATATAGGTTCCTATTACCCCCCATCCCCGTCCCGATTTTTCACACTTGCTGTCTGGTCACCCTAGGCGCCCCCCCCCCCCCAAGAACTGGTTAATCCACAGTGGACAGTGCAACCCCATGCATGGCCCAGCCCTGCCCCCCCCCGCCTCTTCAAAGTGCTTTGCTAATAGGGTGACCACATGTCCCGATTTTATAGGGACAGTCCCGATTTTGGGGTCTTTTTCTTATATAGGCTCCTATTACCCCCCACCCCCATCCCGATTTTTCACACTTGCTGTCTGGTCACCCTATTTGCAAACATTGATTCCTCCCAGCTCCCCTGGTGCAGATTTGCCTCCACTGGTTTGAATCTGAGAAGTTAGGCTAGTGTTAAAGAGGTTATGGGGCGGGCTACTGCCTGGCTCCTACTCACTTGATTTTTGGAAGTGCTTAGCCAAAGATCCCATGAAAGTAAAGTGGGAGCTACCTGTGCTCGCTCAGCAACTTTGGAAATCAGGTCAGACGTGGCAGACAGACTGGTGTCTTACACAAAGGTCTCTTGTCTTCGTTCCTGTTGCTCTAGAGCAGGGATTTTGAATGCTGCTTGCATAGTTAATTATGCTTCAATGTCACTGACAAATAGTAGTGACCGCGATCCCAAGGGAGCCTGCTGAGGTCACTCAATTAGGGTGAACGGCAAAGAATGGGGCAGGCAATCCCCAAAGCTGGTGGATATTCCAATACTTAGATTTAGCAAGCCTGCACAAAACAGCTTCCATTATACCTCACTGGTTACTCAGAAGCAAGTCAACAACACAGTTCCCTTAAAGTAACCCAGCCTCAGGCATCCACCTAGACACTCAAGTCGGGTATGATGATTTCTGAAAATCTTATTTCATCATATAAAAAAGTTTCTACCAATCCCAAAGGATTGGACACATTACCTCCCAGCCAATTCTTATGGACTAAAATTTATCAAAAAAGAAAGGAGAGAGAATGATTAAAAGATCAATATACATACAGACATGAGTTCAATTCTTGAGGTTCAGATTCATAGCAGAGATGGTGAGCTTTGTAGTTGCAAAGTGTTCTTTTAGAATGTAGTCCATAGATTATAGTCCAATATCATATTTAGGGTGTTCCAGTTTAACTGGGATCTCGGTCTTGCAACTCAAACTTCCCCTGATGAAGCTTAAGCAGATATGAGATGACAGGATCAGGACCAAGGATCTTTTATACAATTTCAGGCCTTCTTTGCTAGGTTGGAGTCCCTTGGTTTACAATAGGCAATCAGGGCAACTTTGAAGTAGGTCCATCACCGGTACTTAGCTACACAAATTAACATAAGGCAATTGCCTGTTTTCCCACCATTCGCAGATGATTGGCTATACATTTCAAAGAGAGATGAATACAATGATATCCCATGTTTACAGTTCATTTAAATGCTAAAATGTTCTTTTGATCTCTGAATTAATAGAATACAGCATAGACAGGGACTGTTTGATTACATTATTGACCTCTACCAATATATATGTAAATACATAAAAACACAAACATTATCTCCCCATATGTTTTTAAGGGTTGAATTTGAGTCATTCATCCTGCAGGACGCTTAACCCTTTCTGGTCATGTGTCACAGGTAGAAATTGAGGTTGGAATTCAGTTGTCAAAATTAAGGCTGCAATTTCATGGAGCCAGGCCTCCATTTATTAGAGGGCTTTTTTGTAAGCACTGGTTGCTCTGGCCTGTTATACTTGGCCATTGATGGAGAAATAGAATAAATAAAACAAAATATTGGCCACTTTTAGGCATCTCTGCCTGGATCCATGTGGCTCTGTCCGTTACACCAGGTTGTGTATCTGCTTGATTTAATGGGATCAGTGTGAAAGGCTGTAGAAAATACTTAATGTTACAAATATTATTTATAATGAACCCCATAAATATGCTAACCACTGTGCAAATATACAAGACATAGTCTCTGCTTCTAAGAACTCACAATCTAGCTGTCAAGCAACAGGTGAAGGGTAGGGCAGAGGGATAAAACATACAGTGAAAGTTTTCTTCATGCCTCCTCCCTCCCCATTATGTTAGTTAATGGCTTGTAGAGGGAGTCTTGAGGGGTTGACAAAGAGCATTTTGAGCATAAAGAGATAGTGTGGGAAAAGAGGACAAGGGGGTCAAGACTGGTATGGGCACAAGGTTGCAAAAGTTGGAATTGGCGCGCAATTGGGACTGTCGTTGACAATCGTAAAAATAACCCCTCCACCCAGTTAAGTGAGATTCTTTGTGTAACGATGGCAAAAATTTGACTCAAGTCACACCATTTTGCCATCATGTCTCTCCTTGCTTGTAGCTTATGAAACTGTGGCTCATCTCTGCCACAGATGTACAATAATATGTGCTAAGTAAAATGTGTAAATAAAATTTTCTAACCAACCATCTGTGGTGGTGTGAATTTTCTTTAAAAGCTCTTATCTCTCACTGTACAGCCCCTTGTTTTCTCTAGGTCCTGTATGCTAAATGTACACACAATCAGTACATAAACAGTAGATGCATGTTGATATGATGCACGCAAAATCTTTTTCTATCAGCTTTTCTTCTTGCAGTAAGATGGGCATGGTGACACGCCAGTACTGTTAGGCAACGGAAAACAAACATAGCTCCCCAGAGCCTATGTATGTGTGTGATGTTTCAGAACACGCTTGATTTAAATGGAACGTGTCAACTAAAACTTTTAGGCCCGTTTGAATCTTTTTTAAACAAAATCCAAATTGTAAAATAAATATAAATGTTTTATGCTCTAAACACTTTAAAAATGAAAACCTCAATTACCGTGAGCCCTAAATGGAGCATTGTATTAGTACACGAGAATTGAGGCCCTGATCCTGCAAACCATTCCCATGCAAAGGCCCAAGCCAGTGTGGTTCCCCAGAGGCCCAGGGGTTTGCCCATGTGGAGCAGGTTTCAGGATCAAGATCTTAAGTGTTACACTGCAGTGTGATAATAGCATGGTGCTAGTGCGTGCCAACCAGGAAGTGAAATTAAGCACTCTAATTTCACAATCCAAACTGACTAAAAAGCTACAAGTACCATAACTGGTGAAAAGTAAATGGAATTTTAAGAATTCTTTTGTCTTTAACCATCTGAGATGGTAACAGTAGCATAGGCAAAACATTCTTTTAAACATTTTACTTTCAACAAGAAAGTGGCGCACGGTTACTTTAATCTCCAGGCTACTGTAGTAGAGCACAGTGACAGACTTCTCAGTGCTGCCCTTCCATTGACAAGTTAGTACTTCAGAAGGTGCATGGGCAGCTCTGGAGCTGCCCTGATCCTGGGACTTACCTGGCACGTGGGGCAGCTACCAAGTAGTTACATTTAAATAAGGAAAGTGGAAGAGATGCCCAGCTTGCAATAGCAATGTATTGTAAGTGTATTAAAGGCTTAAAGGTGTCCACTCTCCTGTCTGGGGGAGGAGGGATGGTCAGGAGAGCATTGGATTGGGACTCAGAAGATCTGGGTTAAATTCCTGGCTCTGCTACAGAATTCCTACATGCCCATGACAAGTCACTCGCTGGGTATGTCTACACTGCAACTGGAGGTGTGATTGCAGCACATGTAGGCAGACCCAAGCTCGCTAGATCAAAGCTAGCACGAGTAACAATAGCAGTGGAACTGTGGGGCAGCATGTGCAGCAGCTGCTCACGAATGTACCAGGGGTCCTGGGTGGGTGGGGCTAGGCCACGCTGCCATGGCTTCACTGCTGTTGTTACTCAAGTTGGCTTGGCTACCAAGCAGTGAAGCTGCAGCAGTGTGGACTAGCTGCTAGAGTCACCAGGGTTCCGGGTGGGCTCATACATCTTGTGTTGCAGTGGCTTCACTGCTCTTGTTAGTCAATCAAAGCAGGCTCGGGTATGTCTACCCCTGCTGCAATCTTACCTCCCCAGTGCAGCATAGTCAGACCCTAAGATTCAGTTTCCCCTCTGTAAAATGGACACAGTAGTACTTCCCTCTATCATAGGGTTTTGTGAACTAAAATTCATAAATACTTGGAAGATAGGGTGACCAGATGTCCCAATTTTATAGGGACCGTCTTGATATTTGGGGCTTTTTCTTATATAGGTGCCTATTACCCCCCCGCCGCCACCCCATGTCCCGATTTTTCACCCTTGCTATTTGGTCACCCTATTAGAAGATGTTCAGATACTATAATGAAGGAGTCACGTGTGTCTCTGAACAGAGACGTTCAATTTCCTTTAAGTCTAGAGAGATCTCACACTGAATTTCAGGGGTCTAGAGTTTTAGCCAAGAGTTCTGCTGAAATCTGTTAGTTCAGCTCCTCAGATGGCCAACTATCAGCACTAGCCTTCAGTATAAACTACTGATGGCAGGTACTGAGCAAAGCAAACATTTCCCAGTCTGCAGCTTGCAGACCTATTTCCTTCCTCAGTAGCTAGACCTGTGCGGGAGATCACACAAGTCACCACAGGCCTGCATAATCTCCAGTCCCCCTCCCAGGAGTGGGAGGCAACTCATGGCATGATTCTTCCCATCTGGCACATTGGCGCTCCACAAATTCAAAGGCCAGACCTGCCAGCGAGATGCACTGTTAGCACACCGTGAGCTCCTCTACTGTAGGAATCCAAGCTCCTACTGCACTGAAAGCCCAGGGTCAGCCTGAAACGCTGAGATTCAAAGAGCTCCCCCCTTTTTACAGAGGACATGAAAAAATGGGTGTTGCCATACT